AGGCTTGACACCATACCAACACTCTTCTGGAGTTATTTCTTTTAACTTCTTTGTCAGGCATCTGTTCAGTAAGTATGTTACAATTGACATAACTTCTTCCCATGATTCTTTAGGTAGATGTTTGCCTTTCAACATACTTCACCATATTCTTTATGCTTCTATTCTTCCTTTCTACATTCTCATTCTACTGTGGAGTGTAGGGTGGCACCACCTCATGCATAATCCCTTCTTTCTCACAATGCTCCACCATCATCAGTCCTTAGAATCTTGAGCTTTCGACCACTTTATCTTTCGACCATAGATTTAAACTAGGAAAATACCTCGATCACTTCACTTTTCTTCTTGATTAGGTAATTCTACAGATTTTGACATAAATCATATATGAAAATGACAAAGTATATGTTACCTCTAATTAAATCAACCTGGATATGACAATATACATCAGAGTATATGGTTTAAAGAATTTCCTTTGACTTGCTTCCTGCTTCCTTGTTGAAGTTATTCTTGTGCTGCTTCATATGCACACATTTTTCACACACTTTATTTAGAATGTTAATTTCTGGTAACCCTGAAACCATATTTCTCCTCTTCATATCTCTGATGTCTTTAAAGTTGAGATGGCTAAGTCTGTAGTGCCATATCCATTCGTCCCTGCTAGTTATATTTGCAAGGCACTTGTGTTCCATCACATTAAGTTCAATCTTGAAGGTTCTATTCTGAGACATATGAGCCTTCAAGATTAACCTTCCACCTGAGTCGATAAATCTTATCATCTTGTCTTTAACTAACACCTTATAGTTATTTTCGACCAACTGCCATATACTGAGCAAATTATTCTTCATATCTGGTATATACAATATATTGAAAATTACTGACCTCTTGCCATCTTTCATTATAATCATAACATCACCAATACCTTCAGCTGCTAGAGTATTGTCATTAACAAATGCCACCATGTTCTTCAATGAGGGTTTTATGTTGACAAATCAATTCTTCCTACCAATTATGTGTGATGAGCATCTTGAGTCTAAGTATCATTGGTCCTGAAATCTTTCTTCATCTCTTGTTGTGACCATCAACAACATCTCTTTCCTTTTCATGCTTTGCAAACTTTGCATCATTTTCTTGGCTCTTTTGGTTTTCAAGACAATGACTAGAGTAGTGACCATACTTCTAACAATTGAAACACTATATGTGACTTTTGTCAGGTTTCCGGCCACCACATTTTCCTCTACCTGTTGCACAACCTCTTCGATTGCTTTGGTATGAGGACTTTCTCTTATTCGACCAACCTCCTTCTTTATGATTTCGACTATTCAAATAATTATAGCCTCGTCTACCTTTCCAACTTCCTTTGTCCTTCTTTTCTTTTGTCGATTGCGCCTGCGGAGCCACATCACTCTTTGACTTGCCAACCATCCTTTATTCATGAGATTCAAGCATCCCTTGAAGTTCTTCCTTTGTCAAACTTGACAAATCTTTCGAATATTTTATGGCTACTACCACGTGGTCAAACTTTGGAGCCAATGACCTCAAGATCTTTGCAACCGCCGATCTTGATGTCAACACTTATCAACATACATTGGTTTGATTCATCAGTTTTGTAACTCTAGTAAAAAAATCTATTATGCTTTCACTTTCTTCCATTTGAATAAATCCATACGTTCTTTAGTGAGTTTGTAACCCCACCTCTTTCACCTTCTCCGCACCTCCAAACGATTTCTCCAAGATCTCTCATGCTTTTTTCAATGATTCTACATTACTGACCTTTTTGAAATCATCTAAATCAACACGTTGGTGAATTATAAAGATAGCTTTATAATCTTTCTTCTTCAATTCTTTATATGCAGCTTTTTCTTGATCCAACGCGTTTTCTATAAATGGTGTTACTCGTTACTTCACAAGATCCCAAAGATCTTGATAACAGAAATCACCTTCATTAGTTTGCACAAATTCTCATGATTTTGAGCCTTCAGAATTTGGAGACTTGCCGGAAAATGTTTGGATGATTCATCGCCTTCGTGTTTTGCTTCCTATGAATCGCTCATTCAGTGCTCTAGATGCCAGATGTTAGAATTAAACCCAACACTTTGAGTAATTCCGAATCAATCTTGATGAACAAGATTTAATCAACTGAATGAATTTCCTCTTGTTCTTCACTCGAGTGAATCAGCCAACCTTAGTTACAGGATTGTATCACTACACAATGATGATGAAAACAGGAAAATAAAATTGAATTGGGGAAGAAAAAGAAGTTTAACATTTTCACAAAAAATAAGGAAGAAGAGGAATTTCTATAGAGTAACTCTCTGCTCTCAAAACTGCAATTTTAATCAAGTGAATCACACTTTACAATAATAGGGTTACTCCCTATTTATAGATTTAGCTTGTTTGATCTCTAAGCAAATCCCAAAAACAAAATCCAAAAATGCCTAATTCTGCCAACATTACAAAATTAGATTTAAGAAAAAATTCATGTCGAAACTAACTTCTCGAGACTTCGACAACACACGCTAGATGTAAGTCTAAAAGGTTTAGATCAAATCTCAATCGTTAATAGAATTGAATCAAATGATATTATTAAATAAAATTTAAATTTTTTATAAAAACATGGTGATTTCGCTTTTTTTAAAAACTAGGTTATATTTATGACCATTTGATTTATTCGTATAACGATTAATCATTGATGTAAAACTTTTAGATTTATATCTGATGTCAATAAATCTTATTCGTATATATATATATATATATATATATATATATATATATATATATATATATATATATATATATATATATATATATATATATATATATATATATATATATATATATATATATATATATATATGAATAAGATTTATTGACATCAGATATAAATCTAAAAGTCGGAGATGCATGCCCACCATCTTCTAATTGAAACGGGAGAACTTGTTTGAAAACAATTTTCATCCAATTAGGTACTTTTCACTCATTCTCTCTTCTTTTTCATTTGTTTATTATTAAATCTGAAGCTAATCCACCATTTTTTATTGTATTAAATATGATTCGGGATGTGAGTAAAGAGGATGCGTTTAATTTCATATTTTGATCTAAATCAATCTTTGATTAATGATATTTAGGCCAAATTGACATATGCGGCAAATACTTTAATATGTACTCTATCATGTCAATTCATTAGTGTTATTATCTATTATCTTAAATTTTTAATTTTTGTTAATCGAATTTTTTTACAATTTGAAATCTCCGTTCGGGTCGATCTTAGGGTTAGACGAAGGTTAATTGGCATCTATTAGTTCAAAATGGAGTTAGTATAATTCGATTATAAATTGTCTAGTATTCATCTAATACTTAAGAATTTTTGATTGCGTGACTTCACATTTTTCTAATGACGAGAAACCTAGGGTTTAATTATTGGCGAAACTTGTAAATCATTTTCGATTTAGTTGATTTAATTGAATTTATTTTTCTTTATCGATGAAACACATTTAGGTATTATATAATTAGAAAATATCAAGTTCTTAAATCTGATGATTTTCTATGACATTGCAGAAAGACTTATCGACTCGACAGACACAAAGTAAGGTGAAAAGCGGATAAAGATAGATGTCATTGATTCAAGCAAAGAAAAAGTGAACACATTTAGGTGTTCTAAGGTTTCTCTACTAAATTTATTATTGTTAATGTTTTTAAAATTATTTAAATTTTGATATGTAGTGTCTAAATTACATGTGATTATCAATAACATTTAAATCTAAAAAGAAAAAACAGATTAATTCATATAACATTCATGGTTTGTTTTTTTTAATGATAAAGTGTTAGTCCTCTGAAAATAAAGTGTTAGTCCTCTCAAGGTCAATATCATGTTGTGTTCTTTGAATCGTGACAATGTGCTAAGAGTATACACATATGTAGTTTGAATACTACATCTTTTATGTAAAATCTTAGAACATTTGAATCACAAAACACCTCACTTATATATTGTTCAACACATATTTTTGATTAAATCTTGAAATTCTTTACTCACATTAAGACTCAATGCCCTTCTTCATTTTCAATGATAGAATGTAAAATAAGTTTGAATTTTATTTTTAAAAGCCGCCTCATAACATGTCTCAAATACTATTGAATAATATTATATGTATTTGAGACATTAATATGATATTAATATGATATTAGTGGTTCCATTTTCATGTTGACATTTATAATTAGACTCGGATATCATATTAATATCATGTTAAGATGATACTTCTTTAAAAGTTATTACAAATTTAGTTTTTCACTTGTTTTAAACTATACTCAATAATTTGATCTTGATATTAGAGTACTCAATTTCTCAAAAGTTTAAAATAAGTTTTATATGAAATTTTTATTTTTTGTTTTCTTATTTTTAATTTAGAATACTTGTTAGCATTTTCTACATTTTCTAAGATAAAGTGAGTACAATCTTAGTATAGTATCGACTTATTTTAAAATTTAATTTTCACCTTGATCATGTTGAATTTAATTTCACTCAACATGGGATATCTAGGTTGAATAAAGATAGAAACTTATTAATTTATTTTATAATTAAGAAGAAACACTTGTGCCGTTTCTTCTCTCACGCACACAACAATCTTAATTTCTGTCACATTAAAAACAAAAGATTAATCTCTGATTTTTTTTTATGTTTTTGGTTATTGATTTTTGATTACCTAGTTCTTGAGCCTCCATTACATAAAAAAACAAAAACCACCTCAATCATAGTACAAACCGAACAACACATTTCGATAGTCCAAGAATCCCACTTTTTCGTTTTTCGTAGAATCGACCGTGCAAATTCAATCCTCGAAACCCTTTCTTGTTTGTTTCTCAACTATTTTTCTTTGTTATTCTCGAACGTTGTGGAAACTGTCATGTTTTGGTGACATGCACCATGTAATTACGTGAATATGGAGGAGAACAAGTGCTTACGTGTGTGTCTTTTCAGAGACAGATATTGTTATAAAAAGACAATAACAATGGAAGACGGAGCAGTGTTTAAATATGAAAAGGTTTCGTCATTCTTCACGTGTGTTTTGTGTGATCGAGTTTTAAGGAATGCCACCGTAATTTCTGAATGCTTGCATACTTGTAAGTTTTTTTTACCTTGTTCTTATGCTTGAAACTAGGTTTTGATTTATGTTGTTTTTTCATGTTTTCCTCGTAGTTAAATCTCTGAGTTTAATAACAGTTTGCAGGGAATGTATAGAAAGAAAGATAGTAGATGAGAATCTAAACCATTGTCCAACATGCAATGTAGACTTGGGTGGTTCTCCATTAGACAAACTAAGGTATTCACCATGAACCCGACTCCTCTTGTTGCAGTGTATCTGGTGTCCAATATGTGTCCGTGTCTCTCGGTGTTGGACACTGAAACGACATGACACATGTGGTTAAATTCAATTATTTAACTTTCTTATATTACTGGTGGAATGTGTCAGTGTTTTAACAGGTGTTTGTGTCAGTGTTTGATATGATATGTTGTTTCAATTCGTTTCGTTTTTAGTTTTATGTTTTGTAGAGTTTTCTTGAACTTACCGAGCTTTTTATATTATATTGGAAATGGAAATTTACAGGACAGATAAGAATACGATGGCACTGATTAGTAAAGTTCTCACCTCTACAAGAAAATATTTTGAGACAAATGAAAATGTTGTTTCAACTCAAGTAGTTACCAATAAAAGGAAGAACTCACAATCCTCTTCGCAATCCAAAGCGAAAAAGGCCAAAAGAGATTCAAAGAAATTTAAGAAAGAGGTAAAAAAAGGAAAGAAGATTCTACAAGAGCCAAGGCAGCTGCAGGAAGAAGTTCTTATCACTCCACAGGCACCAAAAACTCAAGCTTCTGAAATCGCTGTTGCTGCGGATGTTAAGAATGACGCGAAACAGCAACGCGGAATAGAAATTTTGGATGAAGTTTCTACAATTCTATCTGCTAGAAAAGCAAAAAATGTGGCAAGAAAAAAGTTTATCAGAACTGAATTAGATTCTACTTCTCAGCCTGACAAAGTCACGTCTGATGGAAAGAAAGACGATTTCTTCCCTCGGCTTGAAACATTCACCGAGACTCCAAAAATCAGATTTAAGGTAAAATGCTGATAGCCGCTATTTGACAACACTTTATACTAAAACTGATTTTGGAACAATGTAGCACTATAGTGCCGTTATAGTCTTTCTTTAACAACATTGTTGTATACTATGATTAACAGAGTTCTTCAAAACCAGAATCATCAAACCAGAAATCAGTGTTGAAGAATGTTTCAAGTGACAAAGCTGAGATAAGGAAAGAAAAGGCTGCTGCTGTTAGCGAGCCGTTGAATTGGTTTGTGGAAACTGCGAACGCGGACAAGTCTCTTAACGACTCCACCCTGCAAGGAAATGGTGTCATTCCAATGCTTGTGGACTCTAGTGACAACGACAACTCTCGTAGCGTGTCTAAGGTTGATGTTAACAAGCATTGTAGCCACCAAACAGAAGCTGGTGGCGATCAAAACGAGTCTGGTCCATCTAAATCTAGTTCCTTGAAGTTTAAGATTAAAAGGGTGGACACAAACCAAGAAAAAAGAGTGAGGTTTTCTGAGGACTTGAATCTTCCTGCACCACCTGAAACTGAAACCAAAAAAGAATTTGGTCCTTTTTGGTTCTCCTTGATCGCTTCTAAGGATCGGTATGACTACTTTTCATGTCTGGTAAATATTCATCTCTAGAAAACTTATATCGTATATCTGATATTTGAATTTATGGATGCAGAGAACTCGGTCCGCTGCCACAAATATCTTCTCATTACTTAAGAGTCAAGTAAGTTTTTTTTTTCTTATCCTTAACTGAACCGCGCTGAAAAGCTCGATATGTGACTTACAGTTCACAAAGCGAACTCAACAGTCCTAATTATCAGCAATAGTAACAATTTAGTAAACAAGATTCGCGAAGAATCGGATAAATTCAAAAAAGTACAGTTTGGTTTTTTTAAAGATAGTTCTGATATAAAATCACAAATCGAGTGAACCAAATCTCTATACCAGTCCAATTCGGGACAGACTATTAACACGGTTTGATTAATTTTGATCAAACCGAACCAAAAGCAGATTCTATATTGTGAAATAGATTCAACATCACTAATCTTTACATTATTATATACAGGGATGGAAGTTTAACTGTTTCGTATATCAAAAAGTATCTTGTGCAGAAGCTTGATCTTGCTAGTGAAGCTGAGGTAAGTTGGTTTTCTCACTTTATTATGAACAAATGCATTAAAATTTATAACTTTTTGAGAAACTTATTGTCAATTTTGATTATTTATGCTTATTACAGGTGGAGATTTTATTAGGAGGGAAGCCAGTTTATTGTTCAATGCAGGTGCAAAACCTGATGGAGATGTGGTTGGAAACAATGTCAAAGAAAGAAATGATTGAGACATCTGTTGGAAGTTCTGCTGAGGATTTTGTTATGGTCCTTTCTTATGGTAGAAAGGTTTGAGTTGAGATGAGGACTCATACATGAACTATTTTTAGACATCTTTGGATTCAATTTTTTACAGGGATAGAAGTGGGTTTCGAATTATAAAATTGATTTTGACATGTTTGAATGTTGTTGGTTAGAATTGGTTTTGGTTTCGGATTTTAATTTGATTTAAAGATAGAAGTTTGAGCTTTTGACTCTGAAATTGAAGTTTAGTTCTAAATTTATCATTCAAATAATGTTTGTTGCTTGTAGCCTCTCCTATGAAGTATGGACCCTACACCGACACCGATATATTGACATATTGACGTCGATAATAATTTGAAAATTCCATATGGGTTCTGTGTAAAGGGTGAATTATGACTGTTTTGCTTTTAAGAAAAAACAAAAAGATAAAGATTTTAACAAAGGTTTGATTCTCTTTTGTTTTGGTTTTTTTAACCACTCAATTATATTTGTCCGAAAATGTTTTTCAAACATAAATATATTGATTTTAGAGTTTAATAATGATGCACGGACACTAAAAAAAAGTTTTATACTGTCATCCAATAAGAATATATTATTTTGTAATGTCATATAAATATTTTAAAATTTTCAGCATGACTCAATTGGATGTATGATCGTCATTGTTTGATAGTGTAAACATCTATTTTTTTTTTTTACTTTATCTTTTATTAAATGGTTAACATGTCTTAAACATGTGATTATGTTTTCTAAATGACTAAGGAATATATATATATATATATATATATATATATATATATATATATATATATATATATATATATATATATATATATATATATATATATATATATATATATAATTTTTCCATATTGATTTTTGACACAACATAGTTTTTTTTTTTTTGTCATTAAATGATTAATGGAGTTTAAATACATGATTAATTGCATTTAGTAGATTATTCATGAATATTTTGTATATCTTAAAAATTGATTTGTTTGACACACAACACCATTCATTTTTACATTAAATAATTAAAGATGTTCTAATATGTATATAAATGATGTTCGAATGATATAATTCTTTTTGTGAAAGGTAAGAAATGAGTGTCCAAAATAGCAGGTCTATTTTTTTTTTATCCTTGTTGTGCTTCTTTCGAGATCACGAGACATGTTAGTCTTGTAATTTATTTTCAGCAATGCTCTAAATTGTGTTTAATAAATTCATGGTCACGTTATTTGTTATTCAAAATATTGCATAAAGTGGTTGTTTTTGCTGCTTTTGAATTCGTAAGTTTGTAATTTCTTAACAAGTAGAAAGAAGAAAAATCAACATGAAGTATAGAGCAAATAATTGGTGTGCTCAAATACAAAGGAACAAGAGATGTGTGTTTAGATTTGAAGAGGCGTGGACCTGATAGATGTGAGGAGGCAATTCGAATGGCGTGGTGTGAGGAGGCAATTCGAATGTGGTGAATTCCTCAAACCTTTGCTAGGAGAAAATTAAAGATTTGAGATTGTTGGGAGTCATGTTTGATGAGTATATAAGGAGTAACATTATGCAGGAGATTTCAAGAGTGGAAGGTGAAATCAAAGAAATGAATCTCTAGGAATCATCGACTCGGGAGTTGTCAAAGATGAAATGACCTAACAAGCATCTTGATGATCTCCTTACAACAGAAGTAGCCATTTGGAGGCAGCAAAATAGAGCAATATGGTTGAATAATGGTGACAAGGATACAAAATTCTTCCACGGAAAAGCCACCCAAAAAAGGAAAACAAATACAATAGCAAGAACTACATATGAGGTTGGATATTGGTGGAGAAAGGAGGAGGATATCGAGAGAGTTTTTGTTTCCTACTATAGAGAGATTTTTGTTTCAGCTGTAATAGAAGGCGCATGCAATTTGCAAAGTTGTTAAAGACATGCTCTTAGAAGAAAATATTTTATGGTGTAATAGGGAGTTTCGATTCTCTCGACATCAAGAAGGCTCTCCAACAAATGTAACCCCTAAAGGCCCCTGGCCCCAACGGATTACCAGCACTGTTCTACCAGAAGTTTTGGCACATTCTAAGTCGGGACATAGAGAAGCTTGCTCTAGATATTCTGAACAATGGAAAATGCCTAGAGATTTGAATAGAACTTTTATCTACCTAATCCTGAAAGGAAATAACCGCCACTCAACAAAAAAATTTATACCAATAAGCTTATGCAAAGTAACCATGAAGATAGTAACCAAATACATTGCTAACGGATCGAAACCTATGTTGGTGGGCATTATTGACGTAGAACATAGTGCTTTTATCAAAGGACGCTAGATCACAAATAATTGCCTCATCACCATGGAATGCTTCCATTGGCTGAAGAAGAAACAAAAGGGGGAAAATGGCCCTGAAACTTGATATGCCAAAAGCATATGTCATAATCGAATGGGATTTATGAAGATCATGTTGAGCACTATGGGCTTCCGAAAAAACATAGTTTCTTTGATCATGAGGTGTGTAACAACAATATCGTATGAGATGGTAATTAATGGCCAACCTAGTAGAAGACTCTCACCAGAAATGGGCTTAATACAATGGGACCATTGTCCCTTTATCTTTGCAATCTATGCGAGAATGTGTTATCTAAGCTGATCTCGTTGGAAGTAAAGCGAAACAACATCCATGGGATGAGGATGGCTAGGAGGCCCCACTATCTCCCACCTATTCTTCGCGGATGATAGCCTCATATTTGCTAGAGCCAACTAGTAGAAGGCATAATCGATTTTGAAAATCCTTCAAGCTTACCATAAATGTTCATGATAATTGGTGAACTTGGAGAAATCAGAGGTGTCTTTCCGTCGTAATGTGTGTGACAATTCTAAAAATAGGATCTGCGCAAAGATGGGAATTCAGCTGATTCTTACTGATACCAAATACTTAGGTTTTCTAGTGGTGTTTGGCAGGTCAAAAAAGGAAGTTTTCTTTTTTCTTATGAATCAAGTTAGGAAGAAGCTAAAAGGTTGGAAAGATAATGCTATGTCTGGGGCGAGAAGGGAAATGCTAATAAAATCAATGGCTCAAGAAATTCCCATCCACATAATGAGTTGTAATAAACTTCCAGGCGGTTATTATGACCAAATAGAAAGGATGATTGCAAAGTTTTGGTGGAGAACAAAAGAGGGGCAAAGAAAAATACACTAGATGAGATGAGAGTGTCTTTCAAAGGCCAAAAGTAGAAGAGGAATGTGATTCAGAGAATTTGGAGATTTCAGTAAGGTACTGTTTGGAAAAAAAATGGAGGTTGATAAATGGAAAGCCACTCTGATGGGGAAAGTTTTCAAAGCCAAATATTTCCTAAATTGCAAGTTGATGAAAGCAGAGCAGGGAAACTCTCCAAGCTATTCTTTCAGAAGCATTCTTAGTGCTAAATATCTTATGGGTGTTGGATGTAGGTGGCAGATTGTAAATGGAAAACAAGTGCGTATTTGAAAAGATAAATGGATCCCAAATGTACCAGGTTCTAGCGTGGTCCAATGGTAGACTTGGCAACGATACCCTATTAGCATAACTAATTAATGAAGACCTAAAAATGTGGAAAACAAAGCTCGTCTTCTACTAGTTTCATGCTTTCGAGGCGCATTAAACTGTAAGTTTTCCTCTGTCGCGGTGGCTGCCTAAAGACAAGTTGTTATGGTTCTCTGAGAAAGAAGGTTCCTACTCAATGAAGACAGCTTACCATTGTATTGGGGAGGAGAAGAGTAGAATGTTGGCAGGAATATCGAGCGATAATGACAAGACTTTGTAGAAAGGGATTTTGTATGTTCATCTCCCAAATGCGGCAAGGAATTTTCTTTGACGTTTAGTGAAAGGTGTTTTGCCTTTAAGAGTTAACATGCAAAGGAAAGGTTTGAAGATTGACATCATCTTCTCGTTTTGCTTTTCTGAACTTAAAATAGATGACCATTTAGGTGCCACATCGTTAAACGGGTGTGGTTCGCACCACCGTTGTGATTTCAAATCTCATACAACGTTGAAATTAGACTGTGGTTTAAAGGGTGTATGCAACCTTGTGGAAGCTTTGGCATGGGAAAAACCTCCTTTTGTTTCAATAGAAAGATTTCAATCCAATAGAGGTGGCGAGAGACGTATCAAGCTTAGTACAAGAGTTCTCTTTTGTCAACCACTCCCACAAGAAACACAATTGGGATGACCATGAATGCTTAATGAATCTAATTCGAATGTGGATTTTACTGTATTTGTTGATGTGGGCAAACAACTTAGTCCTGATTTGTACAAGAACTCACGTGTTATGACATTATAATATTAGTTGTCATTAAAACGGAATTTATCTACCTTACTTTATATCTAACACACTTGACAAAGATTTTCAAAATAAAAAAGTAGACCAAAAAAAAGAGTTTTAATGTCCCATTTTGAGGTTCAAACATCAGTTCCCCAGTATAATTAATTCCACCAAAAAAAAATTGAATTGAAATGTCCACTAAAACAAATTACCAATAAACCTTGGTGTACATTTTTTATCCTAATGTATTTCTTATCAATTTTGATGTCAAAATCAATTTCAATCCAATGTAACCAAACCTTTAAAGTTTATAAAAAAACAAAAAAAGACATACCAGACAATAAAATACACTGATATAGTCTTGTTATAGTTACAAAAAAAAATGAGTTCAATGAGGAAGATAATCAGCTAAGTAAGGAATATCACAATGCTGCCAGAAAATGGCAAACAAGAATACAAAAGCTTGACTAATATGACCCACAGCCAATTGGTATATACTAAATACTAATCTAAATTTGCTTGTGATAGTTTTGAACAATATGGAACAGAGTAATATGACAGTGTCCCTGAACTTTTAGCATGACAGTCTACTATTAGTAAAATACAATCAAACAAGAAGCAATACAGTGAAATATTAAAGTCAAATGCATCACTCTTTTTAATTTAGTAATACTTTGCTACTTCAAGATAAAAAAAGACCACCACCTTCAATTCATTATACTACATTATTTCATTCTTTCTTTCACCTAGACTCAGAATTTAAACCATCAATTTAATCCTAAAAATATCACTCTGTCTTCAATCTTCAATTTAATAGGTAAATATATAAATATAATGAGTAGTTCTTTCAAGTGTATGAACAAGAATCCGTCAATTTAGTCCTTTCTATTAAGATCTAGGATCTTAAATTGACAAATTTAATATACTTCAAGACTAAATTGGTAAAAATTCATATACTTTAAGGATTACTTATTATAGATAAGATTTATTTCTATTCCAATTTCTAAACATGAGAAAGTGAAACATCTATTCAACAAACTGACTTCATTGATAATAGATAGTATAATACATGGTTCTTTCTTCTTTCCTCTTCTCTCAGTTTTAGACATCATTGAGTTCTACTTCATATCTCTCAAAATCTCTATAGCACTCACTCCTCTAACAAAAGGTATATCATTGTCTATATCCGAAACCGACATGCCATTGTGTTAGTGTTGGTGTCATCGTGTTAGTGATGGTGTGTTAGTGTTGGTGTCATCGTGTTAGTGATGGTGTGTTAGTGTTGGTGTCATCGTGTTAGTGATGGTGTCCGTGTTGGTGTCATCGTGTTAGTGATGGTGCCGTGTTGGTGTCTCTTGCTTCATTGCTCAAAATACTAAATTAGCATGCAAGCATCTTCATTACAATACCATACCAAGAATAAAATCACATTATCATCATCACAATAACATAGACACATTAACATAAACACACAAAGACTAAGCAAAAGGAGAATCAATTTATTCACTAGTATTCTAAATTGTATATGCACAAAACCCTAATCCACACTACATGCTCACTAATTTCAACAATGTATATAAATAAATTGCAGAAACATAACAAAAAAGATGAACCAATAGCAGTTTGTTAGTGAATTCAATTCAATCTACAGCTAAATAATGAAATCTGAATAATCAAACAGCTGAATAAGGACCAGCACCGTCACTGAGCATCGGACCGTACGGCGATTCATAATCATCCAAACCACCTTCATCCGTCCTCCTCAACGCACCGTGCAAGCAAACCACCGCCGCCGTCACAACAACCGCCACCACAACGTTCCACCACACGCCGGTAACAACAATAGCAACAAAACTAAAAAACGACAGAGCCGCGACGACGACGCGCTCATCGAGCGATATTAGGTTAAATAGCAGGAACGGTTCGGAGGAGTCACGGGAGAAGAAGAGGAAGTACCATCCGGAGAAGGCGATTAGGAGGAGGAGGATGGCGAGGGGATGGTAGACGAGAGTGAGGAGGAGGATGAAGAGGAGAATGGAGGAGTAATTGAAGAGGAAGCGCGTGAGATTGATGCCGATGCGCGTGGTTGTTTCTGAGAGGGAGGATGGGAGGGAGAGGGAGGACAAGGAGAGGAATTCAGTCCAGGAGTGGCGCGTGGACATGATTGAGAGTGTGGCTTCTTTGAAATTGGAGAGTGTTTCTGACATTGTGGTGTGTGAGATGAGAATGAAAGAATCGTCGATCGGTGGTGAAGATGACGAAGTTTCCTACTCAACTCTACTCCCAGTGCTCAGTCAACCCCCGTGGTTGTTATTGTTATAGTACTATATCATAATAGATGGGCCAACAGGCCCAATTTTGATCCTTAATGTCATTGATTGCCAACCAGCCATCACATTTTAAACTTTGCTACATACACCTAACTAATTTAATATTCTCACCCCGTATGGAGCGAACCAAAAGGATATCATAACCTTGTGAAAGAAACGTGGAAATATCATAAAATTCAAGGATGGGTTGCATTTGTTTAAAAAAAAAAACTCAAGTTGATCAAGACTCATCTTAGAGAATTGAGTAAAAAACATATAGCAAATCTAGATTGAATGATTGAAGAGGGAAAAAAATAGTCAATAACTTGGAAATAAAAGGAGAAAACACAATATTGTCTGAAGAAGAGATTGAAGCTATAGAAACATCAACTCAACTAGTCGCACTGTTAAAGCTTAATTGCAGCATATTGTGGCAGAAATAATGCATGAAATGGCTCAAAGAAGGGGACATCAACTCAAAGTTTTTTCATAAATGTCTTCAAAATAAATAAAAAAGTTAATGAAATTAGATGTATAAAAATTGATGAAAAAAACAGACAGAGTTGCGGGAGATAAAGAATGAGATATTCAAATATTTTTTTTAGAATTGTTCAAAGAGCAAGAGATGAATAGACTGGTTTTACATAATGTTGAATACAAACAAATTAATTATTGAACATGTGACTTCACACACAATAGTGAAGTAATTATGTGTTTTAGAAAATGTTGGGCAAACGCATAAGATACAAGGCTCTAGAGAATCGAATGAATTAGATGTGGGCGAGAAATAAAGTTTTGAGTATCGTTGATTTAGAGCAAGAATACTATATAGTTTATTTCACTAATGAAGAAGTTCACTATGCATTGTTTATGAGGGGACCTTGGTTTATCTCCGATCATTATTTGTCTTTTAGGGAATGAAAACCAAATTTCTACCTAGCAAGTGATGCCATTGAATAAGTTATTGCGTGTGTGCGAATATCAGGTTTGTCTATCGCATATTATGATGTTAGAGTTTTATCCTTCATTGGAAATAGAATCGGATCTACTGTCAAAATAGATATGAATACTTTAATTATAGAAAGAGGAAAGTATGCTCGACTTTGTGTTGTAGTGGATCTGACAAAATCTGTGTTAACCATGTTTGTTATCAAAAGACAGCACTACAAAATAGAGTATGAAGATCTTCATTTGCACTGCCAGAATTGCGGTCGCTTTGGACATTACAAAGAAAGTTGCATGGATTTAAGAGTTTTGAATGGAAAAGAAGATTTAGATATTAGTACTGTCAATAATGAAACACATGGAAATAGTACTGTGAGGAAGGAGGATGACCCTTAGATGGTGATTCAAAAAACTCATAGGCAAAGACAAGGAAAAAAGGTCGAAGGGAGAGACATAGGAAAAACAAAATCGTGAGATATTGTTTCCCTTGAAAATCAGAAAACAACCGCTGATCTTCCAAATCTAACTTTGGTGACTCACAGGATCAATCAGATTGATCCTATGACATGTGCTAAAAAATTTATTTTTTGGTTTTAAGACTTTATCCAAGTTCCACACTCGAATAAGGTTGGGATAAACAGAATCCTAAAAGAACATCTATTCGACTACGGGTTGATTTGCAGGTAAAATAAGGCTTCTAATAAAAAAAAGAAGAAAGTTTGTTGGTAAAGGTGAATTTAGTTTGAGGGCGAAGAGAAAAGAATTGCGTAAGGGGAAAAGAAGTAAGGTAAAGAGTAAAAAAGGGTAAGGACAATAAAGGCAGTAAAAGACTTTGTAAAACTTAAAGTAAAAACAAATAAATTGCATTAAGTTTAAAAGATGGTGTGTTTACATCACGTACATTCTCCTTGATACTCTTTTCTCTACACTCGAATACTTTGAGTAAATTTAGGAGTGACTTGCACAAATAGTAAATTACAACACACTTTGGATGTGTCTAAGACATTTTATTTATAGTAACAAAAAATAACCTCTAATAACTTCCAACATAATCTCCTTCCGCCACTTGTCTTAAATGCATGGATCCATCATTCATAAGGTGACACGTGTCTCCCTCCATTTTCCACAAGCAAAACCGTTCCCTCCAACATTCAAATTTCAAATACTTCGACGCACCATTCGTTATTGGCAGGCGGTCGAACCCTTGGCCTCGGGGTGGGCCTTTCGACTTAGCTTCTTCCTCCTTTCGACCATTTTCCTATATTCAAGGTATTCTCCACCCTTTTCTTTGGAAACCTTCTTTCTAGCTGAGGCGTCGAATTTAGGAGCTAACAAATTGCCCCCCAAAAATGTATTTTCAACTTCGACCGTGGAAAAGCACATTTTTTGACAACATTTGACCTTCGACGCCGCTTTGCCCTTGTGAGTGCCATTTGGTATTCTTTCCACCAATGTGAGCCTGGGAAGTTGAAAGAGAAAAAGAGAAATAGCTATGAACACGCAAGCTACTGTTCTGCCGCCTTGATGCACGTTTTATGATGTCATTATCATCATGGCTATTTTCTCGGGACTCAACAAAATCGTAGGCCATCATCATCCTACCATCCTCGGGGACGTGATTTGCAACTACTACCTCTGTCATTCCACATCCAGGCGTACACGTGGCCCACTACCTCTAGCCCCTCAATGATGGAAACTTTCAGTCTTCCACTCACTACATAAGTAATTTCTTTTGTTGTTTTCATTTCTTACAACTTCTCTAACTTCCTATAACTTTTCTTGCTTTTTCTCTAATTCTCTGCTCTCAACCAACCAACCCTTATTTCTTTCAACAATGGCCGATCATCAGAAAAAGAAAGCGCAACCTAAGGGACAAACTTCTGCACCCGTACTTCCTCCCTTTGCTAGTTTGAGCGGCCCTCAGGTGATAAAAAATCAACAATTCATCAGGGAGCCCCTGACGGAGGAAAAATGACACATCTACGAATCTCAGGTAATCATCCATGTTAATGTTGCTGGGAGGCCTTTAGCCATGTCTGGGCCTTTACCCCCTCCCGGTCTCGATTATTCCGCCATCAAAGATTTCTTCTCTTCTTACAGAACCACTAAACCCCTAGGGCAAAGAAACTTCAACAAAGCTTCCATTGATGGTCCTGACAACCTGAGCCTCTTCGACGTGGACTTTAAGTATCTTCAAGACGGGGCCAGATTGTTTAGGGTCACCCCCTATTTCAAAGATTTTGAACTCTATCTTAACTGGATGACGAAAATAGAGAAGGTAAAAGCTCCGGAATGGAAGGAAACAGGGATTTACGATCTGATTATGATGTCGAAGGTAGACCCTTCGTACTGCCCTCTCATGTTGGCCTCCTCCTTGTTCTTCTGGGATAGGACACACAACACTTTTCACCTTCCTTGTGGGATGATGACACCCACTTTGCTCGACATAGCTACCATTGTAGGCCTAAAACACTATGGCCTCGTTTATGATCCCGAGATCGATAGTCATGACAGTATTGGTTTTGCCAATACTAAACACACCTATACAGCTTTTGTCCAACACTACCATAACAAAACTAGTACCTCTGTTGAGGATGAAGAGCACATAGCCTTCTTGGCCATGTGGTTATCCCGCTGTGTATTTTGTACCAAATCTTTGCAGGTGGCGAGAAAGTATCTGGTCCTGGCCAACCAACTGCACCTGAAGAGAGGCACTTGTCTCAGTGAAATGATTCGGGCTAGTCTCTACGAAGCTTTAAGCAAAGGTGTAGGTAAACTGAAAGATCCTGACAGTCATGGCAACTTGCTGTTGTCGGGCTCCTTCTGGCTTCTTCAGCTGTGGCTTAATGCCACGTTCGAGCACAGTCTCCCCAACAAAGGTGAAGTTGATGAACATTCACCTGCAGTTGCTGAGAGGGAAGTCGAGTGGCCTCGCCTGGCTCAACTTACTCCAAGTGAGGAAGGTCATTCCCTTCGATCCAACTTGTCTAGCTTCGTTCATATTTTAACAAAACGGCATGAGTTTACCGCAAACATGGCTCCTTTTGCAGAACGAAAATGTGGGCCAGAATGGTTCATTAGACCCTTCCCCGCTCCCTTAAAGAAACATGAGGAGGAGTCGAAGCTGATCTGGAGAGGTTCCTCATTCCCCGCCTACTGGTCCACAAACTAAACCTCGTAAAAGGTCACTCCAGCCTGTTGGTATATCAGCCTAACTTGGTCTCCAGACAATTTGGGTTGATTCAAACCTTGCCCAAATGTTTGTACGATAAGAAGTCACATGTCATTCTTCCTTTTACTGTGTTGTCTCCTATGGGTTGTTTGACGCAACTGGCACGCCATGCTCACAAGTCCTACCTCACGCCTGCTCACTTTGAACCCTCTTATTTTTGTTCTCAAAATTTCTATGACTGGTGATCGGAGCATTACGCTTCAGAATTTCTCGATGCTCCAGGTTTTACTCGCTTGATTGACCAAGCTTTTATTGATGTGCAGGAGAAGGTCAAGAAAGGTACGTCCACTCATATCAAAGAGATCCAAGCCTTCCAGAAATATTTCGAAACTGCCTATCGACCAGATGATGTTAGTCGAACCATCCGCGAGGCTGCTGTTACCTTAAAAGAAAAAATTTCCAAAAAACTGGATAGTTTTAAGATTCCCTCTTCTGTTCCTCGCGAGAAACGGTATGAGGTTGCCTTTAAACTCTTTCCCCAAAAAAATCCCTCGATTGCCAACTGCTGGTTTTGGCGTGGCTCTTGCCCCTCCATTTCCATATTGGTTTATCTGTGGGGATGCTATAAAAATTCTTCGACAGCAGTCTAAGCCCAAGGCACAGCGGGTGGTTCCGACTAAACATAAACTCGATACGTTTAAAGGGCACCTTCATGTCAGTATCGAAGATGTTCGCATCGAATTCGACATTCTTGAAGGTTCATCCCCCTTCGATTTGGACT